TAGCTGATTCTCATGCAGCTTTTCTGTGGAGCTGGGAGCTCCATCACAATCCTGGGAGCCCCGTGGCCACCCCTTGGCCGGCACCTCCCCCCAGGCCATCCTCCGCCCTCCTCCCACCCCCCATGGCTCCAAGGCCACGGCCCTGCCTGGGGCTACCGCCCCCCAGTCACCAAGCTTTGCTCTTGTTGGCTCTCTCCTGGGCCTGAAAAAACAAATTATTTTGAGACAATGAAATTGATCTCAGAGAGGCAGCAGTGGCTGGTGGTTTGAAGCGCAATCGTAGTTCCCTGACCAGGAATTGAACCTGGGTAGCCTGGATGGAAACCAGGAATCCTAGCTGCTAGACCAGCAAGCCACCAGACAAGCAAATTTTCCCTGGCTCTTTCCCCCACTGAAAAATGCATTTCTCCCATAATTCAAAAAGACACACGCACGCCAATGTTCACTGCAGCGCTATTCACTATAGCCAGGACATGGAAGCAACCTAAGTGTCCATCGTCAGACGAACGGATAAAGAAGATATGGCACATATATACAATGGAATATTACTCAGCCATTAAAAGGAACTGGGTCATTTGTAGAGACGTGGATGGACCTAGAGAGTGTCATGAAGTAAGTCAGAAAGAGAAAAATAAATATTGTATATTAACACATACATGTGGAATCTAGAAAAATGGTACAGATGATCTTATTCGCAAAGCAGAAGTAGAGACACAGACGTAGAGAACAAATGTACAGACACCAAGGGGGAAGGAGGGGTGGGAGGAATTGGGAGATTGGGATTGACCCGTATATATTATTGATACTGTGTATGAAATAGATAACTGAGGAGAATATAGCACAGGAACTCTACTTAATGCACTGTGGTGACCTAAATGGGAAGGAAATCCAAAAAAAGGGGATACATGTATACGTATAGCTGATTCATTTTGCTGTACAGTAGAAACTAACACAACATTGTAAAGCAACTATACTCCAATAAAAATTAATTTAAAAAATAAACAATGCTGATGGGAAAAATAAAGAAAGAAAAATGCATTTTTCCCAAGGAGGCAAAAGCTGTAAAAACAGGTACAAGTTTATTATTAGAGACACGGCACCACAAGTGGGAGAGCACACAGAGAAGCAGTTTGTTTAGTTAAGACAGAAGCAGGGCAGAGATGCACCCCTGCAGAGAAAGGGTGTGGGCGCCCCCCACCAACGAGGAGGAGCGCGGTAAAGAGGCAGTTAAGTCACTGACAGGACACTCCTTCCAGGTCTTTGTTTGCCTTAGGCCAATTATCTGGTATCTTTCTCCACACCTGACCTCCCCTAGGACCCTCCCCACCGTGCGTGTGCAACTTTTTTCCAAGATGGATTCCAGCCCAGAGGCCTATGGGGGGCCTTGGCGTCACATATTATGGGGTGGTGCCCCCTCCTTTTTGACCCCCAAGGAGCCTTTCTGCACATGCGCAATGTCTCCCTTGCCCCAAGGATGGGAGATACGTGACCTGTGGATCTATTACTCAAACAAGGGTTAGCTCCTCTCTGTTCCTGCCGCTACTGTTATCTTAAAGTGTCCTCAGGAGGCAAAATCCAACTATTTACCCTGGTCCTGTTGTTATTTCTATCTCAAAGTACAAACAGAGGGCTGGTTGTAAATATCTAGCCTGGATCCCACTTGCCTCCCGCCTCAGGAAATGTAGCCAGGAGGCTGGTTGTAAATGCCCAGCCTGGAGCCCATCTATCTCCAGCCTCAAAATGACTGGGAAGAACTCTGATGTAATGTCGGGTGTCAGGACCTCAGATGTTGTAACAGCTCTTGCTGCTTTCCCGCTACTGTCTGCAAACCTTCTGTACACGTGCACCTGAGAAAACGACTAAGAAATCCTGGATGAAAATGTAGAAAGTCAAAAGGAGTAATTGAGCTCTGCAGGGAGGCGTGTGGCAACTGTCACCACCGACGCTTATCACCCTTTGCTCCCGGGGAGGTACACGTCCCAGCCCAGGACCCACGCTGTGGGTGGGAAAGATGGGGCAGTGCAGGACGCACTTCACGATTGTCACCTCTGTCCCGTGACTTGTCAGAGGAAGGACATGCTCCTTGGCTGAAGCCCTTGTGGCACTTTGGCCCTGACAGTCAGTGTCCCTTATCATGGAGGTGGCATAGTGCATTCGTAGCTTCAAATTCTCTCTGTATTTTATTATTTGAAATGAAAAATATTTTGAGATCTTGAGTATTTTTAGAGACAACGTTATATGTGGTAATTTAAAAATCTGGAAATGTATTTTTACCGACCCAAATCTGGGTCCACTTGCCCGCACGGTAAAGCCAATCCACTGACCCCGGGCTTTGGGGAAGGAAAGTGCAGAGTTTACTGCAGGCGCCAAGCAAGGAGTCCAGACAGCTTGTGCTCAAAACACCCGAACTCCCTGATGCATTTCAGGAAAGCATTTTCAAAGGCCAGCTGAGGGAGCAGGGGGGTCCCAGGGTGTGTGATCAGCTCGTGCACAGTTCTGATTGGTGGATGGTGAGGTCACAGGGCGGGGTCACAGGGGTTCACATGATCAATCCTTAGGTGCCAGTAGGGCCGGGGGCTACGTGCCCATGGTCGTCAAGTAGTTAATGTCTTCCATTTGGTGGCGGTTTTAGCGTCTGTAAAACAACTCGGGAAAGGTGCATCAGGTACTATGATCTGGGTGCTCCGGGGCGGAGCTGATGTAGAGGACCTGGGGGAGGGGCCTGTTCCAGGAAGGCCCATCGGGTCCTGCTCGGTTACAGGATCATTGGGCTTTTAGAGTAATTACATTTTGCATCAACCCAGTCCTTGTGTTTTCATGTTTTAGCTGTGCAGCTGTTACTGTAAATGTGAACTCCTGTTCATTGTTAACGTATTTACGTATTTACATTGCTGGCAGTGTTCTCTACTAATACACCCCCAATGCTCAGGTATGATGCCCTGAGGACACCCTGAAGGGAGCAGGCACTGCTCTCACAGTGTAGACCAAAGAGCCACATTTTTTCTTTTAACTTTATTGGGGTATAGTTGATGTACAGTGTTGACCACCATTCTGTGATGACACACTTCAGATGTCTCCACAAGACAGAGCTCTTTAAGTTCCCAGGAAGAGCACTGAGCTTGCCCAGGCCCTGGAGTCGGTGCTCCCAGGAAGGCTCCTGTCCAGTCCCCACGGCAACGAAGTTTTCATGCCCTTTGGTCAGTCTGCTTGACGAGGCTTTCAGTTATAAATGGAACGCCCACTTGTTTTAAGTGTCCTGTTTGCTAATGAGACACTGGTCACTTTAAAGGAACCAAGAACCTTTACAAAATCTTGTTCCAGAGCACAGTTTTTCCTGTTGGTGTCGACGCTGTAGGAAATTAAGGGTCAGGTGCCAGCCGTGGAACACTGCACACCCTGCCCCACCTTTTCTCATTGTTCACTTGGAATCCTTGCCTCTGTCCTTGCCAGTACTCGGGACACTGTGCTCAGAGAAAGAGGACAGCTGGGGCCTTCCCGAGACCCCATCAGGGAGCTGCCAGGGTACGAGACCCGTGTCCTCTGTCTGGGCCCCTCAGGACCCTCTCTGATGTGGGCCGTCCACCTTGCGGCTCCCACGGGACCCCTTCCCTGCACACCTTCTGCCCGCGCACACGCCCTGCTCATCCGTGTTCATTCAGAGCATTACTGACCTTGCTGGCCTCTGCCCCATTTCCTCACCAGGTGTGAGAGCAGCTCAGGGAAGCAGACCGTTGACTGACGTTATCGGGCCCTCTCCTGCTCCCATCTCTGCAGCATCTCTCCCGGGCCTGGGGCGGCATCTGTCCCGGGCCTGGGGCGGCATCTCGGTTTCCAGCTCGGCTGACCCCCGCGGGCTATCCCTGCTCCTCACTTAGCACTAGAGACAGGTAGGTAGGACGAGTTTCCCAAGGTGAAAAGGGAAGCGGAAGATCCAAAACCACAAAAGCTAACAGTGGTGACTCCTGACAGACGGGACAGGAAGAAAGGCACGAGCCTGCGGTGGCTCCTTTATATGCATCTGTATAGTTTGAATTTCTTACCAGTTAGTTATATTACTTGTATGTCAGATTAAGCAGGACGCACGGTTTTAACTGAATTAAACCCATCTGGGCTCTTATCGCCAGCTGCTTTCAACCACCCTCAACTCCAGCGAGCTGTGGAGGAATGAGCCTGAGGGCCCCCAGCCCCGGGTGGCGGGGCAGACGCAGCCGGCGTGTCAGGAGGCCCCGCCACGCACACCCCCTTGTACCCCGCGTGGAAGCGCACCAGTCCGGCTTCACAGGGCTGCGTGTGGCTCAAGGAACGCATCCGAAAGCGCTTTGAAAGCGGTGTAACGCCTCTGAAGGAAAGAAAAAGTGACAGGAATGATTCAGGGGGGACAGGCTAGCTGAGGAGGTGCTGGAACACAGACCCGCCGACGTCAGCCCTGCGCCTGCTGCTCTCGTCCACTATTGCCAGGAGATGGGAAACCGTGCTCACGTTCACGGTGAAGGTTGAAAAACTCTAACTAAGTGCGTGATGTGACCTGAGGCGTGAGGACTCTGCTCTCAGGACGCTCTCGGGCCGCGGGTCCACCCCTGCCCCGCAGAGCTGGCTCCCCGGCCAGAGGTCAGCCTCCACTCCCGGGGCCCAGCGCGGCGCTGGCCACCAGGCCGTCGACGCGTGCTGTGGGCCTGCAAGCCCCACGGCTTCCCTGGAAACAGCGCAGACGTTAGCTGACCTGCCTCGGGGGGAAACTCAAGCCCAGGATGCTTCCGGGCAGCCTGCAGTCAGCTAGTTCGGGGCAGTTCTAGGCGCAGTGCTGGGTGCCTTTTCTAATGTCTGCCCATTGCAAGAGCGCATTATGAATAGCTGGGAACGTGGATGCCTTCCCGAAACTGGCCCCCAGCTTGTCACTTCCCTAGCCATCTTAATCATTTTCAAGGAGCTCCACTTTTCACCTGTAATTGACCTTTTAGGGATATAGTTCTTCAGTTTCTTAATAAGGCATTTAATCATGCTCATTTGACAAATATTTAAATCATTTATTGCCATTAATTTACAGCATTTCAATATACACACTGCATGGAAATACAAATACCTTTTCAAACACTGGCAATGTGATTTTAGCTATGTGGCCAGCTGCCAGCTGTCTCATGGTCATTAAACGAAAGGTCAGGATTTCTGAGTACTTAAATGCTGATGGTTACAAATTTTGTTCTCTTCGGTTTTTCATTAAGTAACTTCTCACAGATAACATACATATTACTGCAGACAGAACCATCACTGGGGATCATTACATTGATCGCATATGTGAGCTGCGCTTTCTGAAGAGAAGTAAAACATTCAGTACTTGAGTGGGTTTGGGAACTCCCTGCTATTTCTAGAAGAATCGTCTGGTTAGTAAAAATAGCATTCCGCATGTTTCTCTTAGCAAGACTATCCACTAGGGTGGACTCTGTGACGCAGCAGCAGCTGGCAGTGCCACTCCTTCAAGAAGCCGGTTCTTCATTTTCCATTGTTATGCTGAGGCATTTTTAGACATCCTGGGAAGGAGCACAAAGACAAATGCAATGAGAAACAAAACTTCACCGCCAGCCTCGAAGGCCTTGGAGGGCTTTAAGAAGACACCTTTACGTTAACGTGTATTTCAACTCACGATGTCATAAGAACAGTAATACCCTATTTCATGCTAATTTTCATGTTTGATAAGTGAATTCTCATCGCACTGTCTCAACGGCGCAGTCGCTTCTCAGCGTATTTCTGCTCTGCATCGAGTCTCCCCAGCTGCACAGTCACAGCCCGCCCCACGACAGACACAGGCGTCCCCAGCTCCTCAGAACACAAAGGCTCAGCGGGATCTACTTACTCGTGCCGGAGCAGCCGTCCCCCCTGGGTGAGCTGGGCTACCTCGTTGGTGGCGTGGCAGGCGAACAGCAGCCAGTTGCGAGGCTGCACCTTGTAGGCGAATCTCATGAACGTCAGCGAGTAACAGCAGAGGGCTGCCAGGGACATGCAGGACAGTGACCTACAGCCTCCAGCTGAGGGCTGACAGGGCTCAACTGCCTCAAAAAAAGAACCTCTTCTGCTAAAACCTTTACAGATGATGAAAGCTATTGCTCAGATGCTTCCACGAATGGGAAACTCATCAGACGGGTGGCTCCCCTGTTAGGCATTCTGTTACTTATTACTTAAACAGTCCAAGAAAGAACATAATGGCGGTAAACTGACATCAGTTCTAACCTCCTTTTCTGTCCCCTAGAGTGGTTTATAGTCCCTTATCTGAAAGAACTGCTATTTAATCGCCTCCACGAGTTTTATGTTCAAATATCAGGATTTCAAGTAAACTTTAAGATACCTTTTCCACATAAAGTTCAAGAGGACACACTCCTTAACTAGGGGGACTACATCTGAAAGGCAAACGGGACCTTAACAAATACTTCCAACTACAGTAACCCTTTTCCTTCCTTACCGTGAGGAGTAACACCCATCAATGACGTCAGGCGCTTTACGTTACTTTCTAATAGTGACTTTAGTGTCTGGTGCTACAAACTTGAAATGTAAGCAGGAGCTGTATTATGCTATAATTTTATAGATAAAGATCCTCCCAATTATTCAAATCTGCATCCTTACCAAATGTCATCCGCCCACTGATAATCTCCGGAGACTTTTTCATGTCATTGATGGCGGCAATGGGAAGACCCCAGTTGGCTACTGGGCCCCAAAAGTGCTGTAAAAAAATGAGGGGAGAAAGAAGAGGAAAAGTGAAGACAGAGCATGAACAGCTACAACTTCTCTTAAACAGTGACGTGCAATGTGCGGTTAACTGGGGAAGGTTACCGCGCAGGCGTTCAGTGTGCAAGTACGGGCCTATGAATCAGCATTTCTCACAAGGTGAGAGCCCCAAACCAGAAGGGATCAGACACTTTACCAAGGTCCCTACCAGCTTCCAGATCACAACTAAGTAATCTCAGACCGTCCCGTTTAGAGAATTTTCAAATGAGATTCAATTCTTACACAAGTCACTCTTGCTACAACTTAAACCTGTTACGACCATTCTCTGTAATGTAACGTTTAAATCTATCAAACTTTTTTCAAATTTTCATTAAGGTATTTATTTGTCAACATCTCTTAAAATGCAGACCCTAAGTTGGATACTTTTTCTGAAGAAAGTAACTTAATAAGGGAAGAACTTGCTTTTCAGTTCATACGAGCTATATGAAGATCAGAGAACCTAAAAATCTACACTCAGACCCCCAGATAATGAGAAATTAAACTGAAAATTAATTTTGAAGCAATAGGAACAGCCTATATTTAAGAAATGGATCAGGAGTTTCTCATGTACGACCACGGCCATCCCAGGGTACCGAAATGAAGTTGTCCACGTTGAACAGTAGCAACATGCAATTTAGTTTAACTTCTGAGGTTGAAATAAGTCCAGGGGCTTTCCCCCTTAAATTAAAAATTGTTTTATTTATGTACGATTTGCAAATAATGCTTTAAAATATGAAGGAGGGAGAGTTCCCTGGCGGTCCAACGGTTAGGACTTGGTGCTTTCACTGCCCTGGCCCGGGTTCCATCCCTGGATGGGGAACTAAGATCCCGGAAGCAGTGCAGCACGGCCAAAAAAAAAGTGAAAAACAAAAAATAAAATAAAATATGAAGGAAACCACACACTGTTGGGTGAAGACCCTTTTCAGTTATCAGAACATTAAACAGTGCTTTATTTCTGCCTATCAGAGCATTTAAGATACACGCAGACTGCAAAGTACCTTTCTAGACCTGCGTTTCTAACACTGACCAAGAGTCATTAAAATCCAAAAACGCCGTAAGAATGAGAAACAAGGAAATGCAAGAAAAATAAGTGAGAATTACCTTCGTCATGATTTAAGAATATTTTGAAACATTTACATAACGTGTTTAATGTAAGCACGAGGCCTCTGCCTTAAATAGCTATAAAACTGTCAGAGCTGTTCTACTGCCAGCATGGTGAGCACTGCAGAATCCCACACCTGAGTGATGGGCGCCGCACCTCAGGCACAGTTGGTAAGGATCTTTGAGGTTCTGGGGAGGGCTATTTAGTCCTCCTGCTTTCAGACTGGATTCTGTCTCAGCTACTCATTGCTGACACTTGAATGTCTCTTGTACCTAGATGAAGCCTGGCCATTTTCCTCCTTCCTCATCCTCCAGACCTCTGGTGATGGAGTATCTATCCCTCCTCACCTACCCGCCTGTTTCCCCTCCTGTCCTTTCCTTTGTGTCCCTTCACTTTCAACTCTCTGTTACTCCAGTGATGTTTCTCTCCTCCTTTTTTTGGCCACGTCAGTCTATTCCCATCGCTTGGCTGTTTAATCACTTCCCACCGCTCTGCTCTACTCTGCGCGGTGGCCCCCAGACCCCCGCATTACGCGCCCCCTCAGGGCTGCCCTGAGGCGCTCAGCCGTGCCAGGCGTCTGCGCTCACAGCTGCGGCCAGGTAGTAAGAGGCCACGGCATAAATCTGAAACCTGAGGCAGCCCGGGGGACTTCTGGTCACAAGACAATATTCAGAGTTTTACTGTGGTGAGTGTAGGGTTATATGAAGCAGCGCTCTGCAAGTTAAGGGCTATATATACACTCGTGATTATAAGCATTGAGATATACTTGAGACAGTTCATAAAAAGAACATAAAAGGTAAAGATAATTTCAACACTAGTCACTAAAATATCTAACCACAGAAAGTTAATAATACATCTTTTCTATCGAGTACAAGACTCGAGTTCTCACTTCCCGTTCCCGGAATACATGTTTGGTCTGTGCTCTGTCAGACATTCATCAGTCAATGCACTGGTCCTGCAGAGAAGTTAGTGTCCAGAGTGGAACCGGAGGACCGAGGGGTCACTGGAGGTGCCCTTAGCCCGGGACCCACAAGGATGCGGCATGATGGCTGTCTCCTGTCCATACTCTGTTAATGCCGAAAGCCTGCAGAAGCCTGATATGAAGTAGCGACAGGTTCTTACCGTACTATTTTGTGAGGAGTCACCGAGGTTCAGACAGGAGAGACATGAGGGGAAAAAAAAAAAAGATCAGATGCTTTGAAAGATTTCGGTCACTTTAACCTCATACATGCGTTCAAGTTTCAGTAACAGAACTACAACACTAGCAGCACATATTCTTTTCTTTTCCTTGAGAAGATCTAGTGATATTAGGTCAATAACTTTGACCTACTGAAAGTAAACCTTAATTTTATGAAACGTAAACTTAATCCTTAGAGTGGAGCTATCCAACAGGAATATAATGCAAGTCACGAACAGGAGTCACATGAAATTTAAAAATTTCCAGAAGTCATGTTAACAAAAGTGAAAAACAACAGGAGTTAATTTTATTATTTATTCCAACATTTCTAAATATTTTAATTCAAACACGTAATCAATAACAACCTACTGATGAGGTATTTTACATTCTTTTTCGGCACTGAGTCTCCGAGATCCGGTGGGTGTCGACACCGCTGCACAGCTCAGCTTGGACTGGCCACCCTCCACGAGCTCCCCTGCCACCTGGGGCTTGTGGCTCTCAGACTGGACAGCACGGGCTTATAGGGGGCATTTCTTTGAAAATGACAAGTTGGAGAGAAGCACAATGCTGCAGAATTCTACCAGCAACGGACTTTCCATTTTTACGTACCAACAGGCTCTCACCAAAATGTAAGCTCCTAAAAATAGGCGTGTAATTCCATATTCTGTTCACAGCTGAAACTCTGGCCCAAGTGGTGCCCAGAATTCACAAGGCACTCAAAAAATGTTTGCTGAATGAATGAAGAGAAAAGTCTTCTAATGTTAAGTGAATTGTTTTCCTGAATGTTAAAATTAATACCATTCAGAAATACGTCGAATTACTTTTACTTCTGAGATGGCAATTCTTCTTTTCAGGATATAGCTTAATTGTTCTGATAAGGCAAACTCTTAAAAGTGTAGCTCCTGAAAGAATTACTGAAATAAAATGATAAAATCCTCTATGCACACTGTCTCGTCCAAACAGCTCCGCTAGTTGTTTTGATGTAGAGGTCAAGGGGGTTCTAATCTCCAGCATGAGAGTAGTTGTTGACGATGCTAATAATATACTTCAAATAGGTTCTGTTATGAAATACGAACAGCCTAGAAAGAGTCCGTCTTTCAATGTTAAGTGCACTGTTTTAATAGATAATGTTTCAACTGCGGTAACAAATTACGTTGCCAAGATTGTATTTCACAGCAAGTCCAAGCTGAGCACAGTGTTTGGACGGCAGAGAGGGTGAGTCCCTTATCAGGTCAGGATCCAGTAGTTTATGGACTATAGTCACCTGTGGCGTCACTCTCCTTTGTTCAGGATCTGAACACAGGCCTTTTATTTATCTATAAATTACCAATGGCACATTTTTTTCCTACAAAAATATTTTAAAAGATGTGTTTCTTAAAATCGAAATTGTCAGCTCGGAGATAACTGAGTTTTCAATTCAGGACTCTTTCCTTGAGTTGTGCAATAGTTCAAATTCTACCCTATTTTACAACAGGCAGCTTATAAAGGAGTGCGAAGGAGGAGTAACTTCTGCCATCGTACCCTGCTCAATCCCAAAGTCCTATGTGAAAGTGACCGCAAAAATAATGTTGATCACATCACTTTAATAGAGGTTTAATGACGATAAGCCAATCTGAGGATAAATTTATTCTAAACATCCCTGGGAAATACAAAAAGCCACAACTCAGCATCCCTTAATTCTACGTCAGAACTGTGTCCAAAACATGCATCAAGTACTCAGGCAAAAAATCTGAGAAGCATACTTGTGCAGAGCCAAACTGGACAAGAAAAGCTTCCTAGTATGTATTAGTTTCTGTTCCAAAGAAAGATAAACTTATAAGCAACACAAACTGCAGTTGGCGGACAATAATGTTAAAACTGTGTGGAAAATACCCTTGACTTTCTCTTTGTTCGGTATGTTGCCTGTATTTTATTTCAGTGAAGGTTAAAACAACCTCAAAATGCATAAGGGTTTTCTTGGTTCACTTATGACCTTGAATTCTTGTGGAGGAAAAACCGATCTCCGCCGTTAAGAATGATGATGGAGGTGACAAAGGAGGATGACTACCCTGAATAAACTTTATCCTCTGTTTCTCCTTAATTTGGAATACTGTTTGTTTGGCTCCAGGTTTCTTCTAAGCTCATTTTTATTTTCTCAGTGTCTTCTCGGCATTGCCAATCTGTTTCTTCCTTTCCTAAAATTACTGGCAGTGACTGTTAGCTTTCTCTGAAAGTACTGTGAGTAATTTATAACTTGCTTACACAGTACTGGAAGGATCTAAGTGGCAGCCCAGCATAGTCTGTTTATGTCATCACTGAGAGCGGGGTAAGGCTTGGAGACGCTCTAGACTGCAGTCCTCCTACAGGCTGAAAACGCTCACTGCCATTTCAGTTATGCTCAGCAACTTGTACCTCATTTTCTAGCCCAAGTTAAAATGAGAGGGAGTTTTAACAATCAGAGTGTGCGATATTCAGCTGTATTTAGATGGTCAAAACTAAACTGGGCGGCAGAAAAGAGACTCCAACACTTCCAGTCTCAGTGACTCTCTGAGGCCACTCACATGCAGGGAAGTAAGGCCAGGGCCGGGAATGCAAGCAGCAGGGCAGAGAAGGGAGGCAGACACAGGAAAAGCAGGCGCAAACAAAGTACCTGAAACCTTCTTTTCAAAACCACTTTTGTGCATAACCATTTCCCTTTAAATCTTAATGTCACCTTAATGACATTCCTGTTTTGGCTTCACAGGTTTGGCATCCAGAGGGTCTCAACTTTTCCGCCTGGTTTGGATCTGTTTTTCCATATGGCAGATGAAGTGTTGGACTACCTGATGTCTGAGGTCCATTCCAGCTCTAATATCCTATAACTTGTGAAAGACTCCCTGTTTTCCACTGCAACTTCTCACTTGGGTAGTAAATACAAATTCTTAAAGCTCTCCTGGAAACTAAGAAGTTAAAATAACTTAGAATAGATAACCTCATTAACTGGAGAATATTCACCGCCAACAGCCGACTCACTTCGGATTTACAAGAGCATGCTGACTGATTAACTGATTTTCAAATACTCGTGATCTAGGTTCTACCTAAGGAAGCATTCTTTGCACATATATCCAAATACATATGTGCACGTATACCTCTGTTCACTTCTCTGAGGGAGGGGAGTAAATCTCTAGGATAAATACACACAGACCTTGACCGACTCAGCCACTAGAACATACATCCTACCTCAAAACTTAGTCGCTCGTTCTAATTTATTTTTCTTAACCAAAATTCAGGAGGGAGAATAAGGGCAAAAAAGAGACAGCTATCTTCTTTTACTCCACCAATAACGTATGTGAGGAAATAGCTTATTTAAAAAAACAAAACAAAACGATAATAGAGATCCAGGAGGTTCTTGATTCAAGATTTTCATTAAAGTAAGTAAGAAGAAATCAGTGAAAGGAAGGATGGAAGGCATCAGAAGGAGCACTGGGAGCCCAGGGATTAAACATGGAATACTGATAACAATAACAATAGAACATTTACTTTTGTAATATACACAGCGCTGTGCTGTGTTGTCAAACAGCTACCAAAGCCCCAACACCAAGCAATTTGTCCAAGACTACACAGCTGGAAAGCAAACGGGCTGGGCTGCAAACCCATCATCAAACCCATCACCTATAGGTGTAATACTACTGCCATCGCTTCCAACAAAAACTGTCAGGAATTACTTAACAGTTTAATACTAAGACCCAAGTTAAATGCCCCAGTTGTCCCAGTAATGCCGTTTATAGCTGTTTTTTCCCATATCAGATCCAATCAAAGTCCACACACTGCCTTTGGTTACAGCCTGTTCTTCTAACTCCTGTTCCTCGATGAAAAAAAAAAATCAACATTTTAAAATACACTTGGAAATTCACTTTAGTAAGAAAGACATTTCAGTCTTATCCATAAAATGTAATTGACAGGAGGTTATAATCTATGTAAAATATGACTTTAAATCTTTGCTAAAAACTTCAACTATGTTGTTAATAAAATGACTTTAAAAATTCTAGAGCAGCTCTAGTTTGGAAAACCTCTACACCCCTTCGGCAGGCTATAAAAAGAACGCTAGAGAGCTTGAGTTGTTCAGGAGTGCAAATGATTGACGAGGCGAGAAGGCACAGGGCCCCGTCTCTGATTGGAAGAGAATATGAAATTGTCTCCTTATGGCTTTATTTATTTGCCAAAGCAAAGCAGGGGCCGTAAGCAAGAAGACTAGAGGAACAAACAGGGGAAACGTTCCTCTAATAAATGCTGGGGAGAAGGGACTCCTTTCTGGAGGAAAAGCTAATGAAAGAGCTGCTGCTGAGCGTTTTGATATCAGCCCAGTCACTCAATCACTGCTCTGCAGGCTGGCATGAAGTCCCACTGCTGCCAGGAGCAGCAGGGAAGACAAGGCCAGTGGACATCTCACTTCACCTGTTCAGTCCACAGAAGGACTTCCAAGTCAAAATCGCAGAGCTTTACGCCTCATGAAACTGAGCAGGACCCTGCAGGGCCTTCCTGAGTACAAAAGCCCCTCTGTGTCCCCCGTTTCTTGTTGTAGAAAAAGGCTTTAGTCTTCCAGGCCTTACCCAGGTTCCCAAGGGCGGACTCAAGCAGTTACTAACGAGGGAAGTGAGGGAATGCAGGAAGAAGGAAAAGCAGTTAAGCAAGAAAAGTAATGACAGCTTAAACAATAGTTCAGCGATAAAACAGAGCCCTAGTTCCTCCTGAAGGGATACACATATCAATCTAACACATATCTTTGAGTTGTTCTGCAGGAGCTAAGGCTCCCACCCAGGTGGAGGATGGTCACTACATTCCCACCACAAGAAGTAGCCTTCAGACTAGCTGGAACCAGAAGGTTGACATTGAGATTCCCAAAATATCACCCTGTTACCTCACCACCCACCAGTCAGAAGTCCACAAACTGATCACACACCCTGCAACCCTCACTCCTAATGTGTCTTTAAAAACCCCTCCCTGAAAGCCATCTGGGAGTTTGCGTCTCTTGAGCATGAGTTGCCCCTTCTCCTTGGTTGGCAGGCGCCCTGCGGTAAACGCTGCACTTTCCTTCCCCACAACCAGTGTCAGGAGACCGGCTTTGCTGTGTGTCGGGTGCACAGACTCAAGTTCTGTTCAGTAACACTCACACTTAAGATTTTAACTTTTCCCATATCAGTACACTTTTTAAAATGTTTCTGCTACAAAAATAGCAAGATATACTAGAAATACGTAGTGATTTGGGGTTTCCAAGTATTTTCACATCCCTCATCTGGTTTAATTTTCTCAACAACCCAACCAGACAGGGCACTGTCATTAAACCCATCTCACAGACAGGGTAACAAAGTCCACTGGGATTGCCTGCTGGGGAATCCCTCGGCTAGAAGTCATTCTTCAGAATCCTAGCTGGATGTCCTACCAGGCAGCACTATTCCTGGACACTGCAATTCTCTTTTTTTCCTCATTTAGTCAGAGCTTGATACAATTAAAGCAATACTAGAAAAGGCATGTAAACATTAAAGCTACATGAACTTAATCTTCGAAAAAAGGTTAGACCATATATCAAAGTATTCAGTTGAAATACCTGGCTCACAGACACCTGTCTAGTAAAAAAAACATACATTTAGAAAAGCAGGGCTAACTCTCTTCATTGAAAATACATATATTTTACAAATTCTTCTTGTGTAATAGAACGCTAGGTAATCGTCAGCATATTTCTAATACGGATACGACTTTATTCTTAATTACGTCATACAGTTTTACCCTTAGCTGTACTTAACTATTAGGAAGGCTCATACAAAGGAGAAACATTAGTAAAACCTAAGGTAATATTTGAAGTCATAGAGAAACTTGACTGCAGGGACTAATAACACAGCCTCCCATGACCACTTTCCTCCGATCTCCCCAACACGTTACTCTGATACATAGACTGCTCCGCTGTGCTAAACATCTATCCTAATTAACCACGGTCCTATGCAAGTACACAAAGTTCATGTTTGGAAAGCCAAGGGTGAAGCTTCTGTTTCCAAATTTACCACGTGGCAGACGATTATTTTTCTTACCCTACTGCCCTTTAAAATTACAAGCAAGCAGTATTTGCAATAAAATTCAGAATTTAAAAAAATAATCCTTTTTTTTTCTTTTACTGGTAAAATGAAGCTGCCTTCATACTGTACCCTATGGATAGTTATTTCTCCTCAGCTGTCATCACTTCACCTCTTTACTACACTAACCTGTTGAAAAATACTGCAGCCCTACACTAACCTAGGTTTTAAAAAAAATCACACAAAGAAAAACTAAAATGTATACACCTAAATAAACTATATTAAGACGGTTTTAAAGTTATATTAAATAAATGAAATAAAAAGCAAGCATCTCAAGATTACAGGCGAAAATAAAATACAGAAAGTGGGACTTCCCTGGAGGTCCAGTGGTTAAGACTAGCGCTTCCAATGCAGGGGGCGCAGGTGGTCCCTGTGCGGGGGCGGGATTAGGACCCCGCCTGACGAGCGGCGAAGCCAAAAAATAAAATAAAACATAGGAAGTAGGCTTTTCATCCCGCCACTGCCCTTTCTTTCTCATTGAAAATAAAGACTTCATGGAAAACAGAATATTAAAAAGTATGCCCTTGGTTGGCAGAATATTCGTATGTTAGATTTGATTCCGTCCCACGCTTGACGTCCTGAAGCTGCGAAATCCGAAGGGCGAGGTCGACCGGGCAGGCTCAGTGCCCTTGTTGCGGAAAAGGAGTACCTGGGGCTCACCTTCCACCGAGCGATGCCGGGACGCGCCCTCCCAGCCCGCGCCCGGGGCAGGTCCGCCGCACACCTGGGCACACACCTGCCGAGCAGGTGCAGCGAGCCGGAGCCCCGGCCCCACTCGCCGGACCGGGCCCGCTCTCGGCGCCCGCCCGCGCCGGGGTGGGGGTCCCCCCGCCAGGGCTCCGGCCCGCCCCGCTGCCCCACTGTCCGGAGCCCCAGGCGCCACTACCCCGGGACCCCGCCCGGCTGCCTGGACTCCCGCCCCGCGGCCGGGAGCCCCAACCCCGCTGTCCGCAACCCACCGCCCCGCCGCCCCGGAATCCCCGCCCCGCTGCGCGGAGCCCACCCCGCTGCCCGCACCCTCGCGGCCCCTCGTCCCGGCGGCGTCGGCTCCGCACCCCGGACCCCTCGGTGGGTCCGGCTCCGGGGACTCGTCACCTCATGAGGTAGTCCCGGAAGTCCTTGCTCCGGACATAGTCCGCCGCCTTCCGCACCAGCGCGCCCGCCATGGCCGTGCCAGACACCAGGCCGCCCGCGGTGCCCTCGGCGCCGCTCCTCGGAGCCCAATGACACCCGGCGGAGCGGACAGCGCGGACACCACAACCGCTCGCCGGCGAGCCTCACGACAGCTCGGCCCCACCGTACGGTCGCGGCCCGCCACCTGACTCTGGGCCAATGAGAGGGCGCAGGGCGGGAGGCGGCGGCACGGATTGGCTCGCGCTCGCCGCACACCTCCTCCCCGCCCCTCGGCCGCGCGTGGGGGCGAGGCTTGCTGCCGTAAAACGGCCGGGGTCCGGCGGCGATTGGCTGGCGGTTGCCAGGCACCCGCGCTGGCGCGCTCCGGGCGGGCAGATGATTGTCCGAGGGCGCGCGGGACTGCCCGCCGCCCGCATCTCGTGGGCCTTTGCAGCCTCCGCGAGCCCCTGCGGCCGCCCGGGCCTGCAGGCTCCAGATTGGAGGTGGGCGCCGGGAGGAGCGCAGCAGCGGCGCGCGGGCTGCGTCCGCAGTTGCCGCTACACGTGCCGGAGAGCAGGTCCGCTAGCTCTGGACCAGCGCGGGAACCGCAGCGCCACGTGTGGGGCGCACCGCGTGGAGAGGGAGACGTGGGAGGCTCCGGCTGTTAAGGGCTTTGTTTTGTTTTTGTTTATTGTAAATGTTTTACCCTGGCCAAAACTGTAGACGGCTGCGTCATCTAAAATGCCCCGGATGAGAGCATGGGGGCAGAGACCCTTGGGCATCTCTAGCAAGGACTTCAGTTGGAATGTAAACACCATTATTTTTGATATGGAAGGATTGGAATTGAGTTACGTATCCAGCAAAGGGACAGAGTGAAATAAATCGTGGTGCATCCATTCCATCATCGAATACTATACGGTAGTTTAAAAGAATAAGGGAACTATGTGTGCTGATATGGAAAGATCTTTAAAATTTATAGGGAAAAAAATCAAGGTGCAGAATCCTGTGTGAAGTATGCCAGTCATTTGTACATAGGGACAAAGAAAGTATAAATTTGTCTCCAAAGATAGAGGAGAAATGTTAGTGTCTACCTGTAGGGAGGGCTAAGGGGGTGAGGGATGGAGGGAAACTTCACTGTATACCCTTGTTCCTTTTGAAGCGTGTAAAATGAACATATGCTGTCTATTCAAAATAAAAAGCATTAAAGAAGAAACAAAATGCCTTTGAGAGTTAAAATAGCAGTCGTTTCATTGAATCAGATTTATTTCCTGTTAGGCTGTCTATGGGTCACACCTAACCTTGATCTTCTGTGAAAGTATATCTTAATACATAATGTTGCAATCCCATAATAACACCAGGAAGGCCGTTGGATTCCACTGGTGCTTTATGGTGGAGAGAGGAATGTACGACCTAGAAGGACCAAAGCAGTCTTTATTATTCATAATATCATTAATACCTCCCATTTGTTGACCAAGAGGCACTTTATTTATTTATTTTTGGCTGTGTTGGGTCTTTGTTGCTGCGCATGGGCTTTCTCTAGTTCCGTCGAGCGGGGGCTACTCTTCGTTGTGGTGCGCGGGCTTCTCATTGCGCTGGCTTCTCGTTGCGGAGCACAGGCTCTAGGCACGCGGGCTGCAGTAGTTGTGGCACGCGGGCTCAGTAGTTGTGGCGCACGGGCTTAGTTGCTCTGCAGCATGTGGGATCTTCCCGGACCAGGGCTCGAACCCATGTCCCCTGCTTTCGCAGGCGGATTCTTAACCACTGCGCCACCAGGGAGGTCCCAAGAGGCACTTTTCAAATGTAATTTCTCCTCCTCACATCAACCCAGAAGGTGGGTGTAAGGAAACTGAAGGGCTTTTTAAATAAAACCAAACTGTGTCTGCCCCCTGCCATGTGAGAAGGGGCTCCTGGCCCCCTGCCATGTGAGAAGGGGCTCCTGGATCTCAGTGGTTCAGTCTTATCCCCTAATGTTTTTCTTTCCCTCATGAGCAGTGGTTCTGAAACTTGAGCTGTCAGAAGAGCCCCCAACCTCAAAGCCTCAGGAGGTCCAGAGTGGAGCCCTGAGCCTCATTGTCAAGTGACAGCACTTGGAGGAAGGCTGCTGAGGTCATCTGTCCCAATTACTGCTGTCCTCTCTCGGCTGGCCTCGAAGACTCAGCTTTCCCATTTGGGCCTCAGCTGGGCCTTTGAGCTTTCCATTGGTTTCCCATTGTGTGGAGGAATGTCAACTGGAGTATTTAAGTATAGGAATATACTGGATAAAGGAATATATAAATGTCCTACTAAGTAGCTAACCTGGGATCTGAACCCAGTTCTCTTACTCTGAGAGCCATACTTTCTCCACTATTTCAGATGTTGGGACAAAGAGGATTTCATGTTAATAGTATCTTTGCTGCTTTAAATATGGAGCAGGCAGTATGGGCTAATGTATAAGAAAACATAACAGTAGATAAGAAACCCAGCTACATTATTCCTAAATCTTCAGAAAGGCCCAACCCTCCGTGGTCCCTGCACGGACAGAGTATGGGAGGTGAAGATGCAGACGTCACTGGCTGCTTTGAATCCCAGGTTTGCGAAAGTGACTGCAAAGGCCTAGCAGTGAGTGGGAACCCTCATGCCCATCCAAGTCCAGGAAAGGCAGTCACCGCCGAGGCTGCACTCTGAGCTTCCCTGTTGGCTGAGGAGCAGACTGTGAGCTTTGACAGATTGCTGAAGCCAGAGGTTGGAGGGAGGCGGGCCCCGGGTTCAGAGCACCCTCATGGCCAGCTCTGTTAGTACAGACTGTGTTTTACATACGGTGTGTGCAACGGCAGTGCTTGTGCTGTAGAAGGGCGGGGATGTCCCCTGGCTGGGTGTCCCGTGGAGAGCTTCACGGCACGCAGCTCCGCAATGCTTCGTACAGAAGAGCTTCCATATGGTATAAACAAGCTGTATTTTCTCACCTAAGTATCAAAATAGAAAAAAAAAAATTAAACAGTAGGTCTAATTATGAGCTGACACACTGAATTCCACAGGTCACAGATCATATAATCTGTTATGATGAAAAGAGGAAACATCTGAGGAAGTACTTAGTGGATGATAAAAGTGTCATAAATGTAAAGAGGTCTTGTTTTTGTCCTTCTGCCCAGTTTTCTTTTGTCCCAACACCTGCCTTTCTTGGGTTCCGGTTAGGCAGGCACGGGTCAGTTTGGTTAACTTAGAGTAAACCAAGCAACTCCAGGACTTTGACGAGAGCCATGACACTTAAATTCAAAAGCCAAAGTACCTTTTTGAATCTGAAGGCGTAATATCTTAGCCAAGTTAGCTCTTCCTGTCTGGCCTGAAATTAATCCGCTGCGCTGCCCCCAGCTGCGCTGCCCACAGGGCTTGGAGAATGAGATTCCTCCCAGGTTATGTTCTAGTGCTGAGGTCAGGGAAACCACACACTTCACAGGCCAGGAGTCTTCACTCTGCCTAGCGATTCAGTAATTTGCTGGTGAATAAATGGCAAAGAAATAAAGAAAATAGAAACATCACTGCTTTGCCCTTCGTGTGGAAATGTGTGACTCAGGCAATCATCAACGGACAGAACCCATCCACGGAGAGGTGAGAGGAGCTGAATCCTCCCAAGGTGCCCGGGTGTCACCCACAGTCGCTGGCTGCTGGTCACGGGGAAACAGGCTCCACACACCGTGGAGACGGACAGCTTTCCCCAACTCCTGTGTCCTCTGGAGTTTTTAGGGGGGAAATGGTGAGAGCAGTTTTCTAGGTCAAAGGTTTTCAAAAACTTACTTGAATCAGACAAGGTTATTTTTTTCTGCAGCTCTTCCGAGAGAGCCTTTACTAAGCTCCCGTGAATGAGAGCATAAAAGGAGCTTATTCTACGTAGCATTTCCCAAACTTCCTTAACCATGAAGCCCTTTCGGAAGGAGCATCTCATGGACTGTCCGTCCGCCGGGTCCAGTGTCCGGGTTCCTGCCTTCCAGCCCTCCGAGCCAGGGCGTGGCGAGGAACTCAGGCCTTGCAACCAGGCGTATGCTCCCACTTTTTAGCTGGCAAGTTATTCAAACCCCCCAGGCCTCAGTTTTTTAATCTATAAAGTGGAACCAATAAGTATCACATCATACACGTTGCTGAGTTTTTGTTAGAATTAAAAGGAATGGTGTCTGTGCAAAGCCTGACACTGTCAACAGTAGATTTCCACTTCCCTGCATCCCCTTAGGATATAAATGTCCAGTTCTCCTTCCCTGCGTCCCCCTTGGGAAGGGCCTGGGCTCCCGCCTGCCCTCCTGTCTTTTGCTACTGTGTTCTTTCTTTTATTATCATTATTATTAGGGAGAGGTTGTACCTTGCACCACCCTTTAATCCTCTGAGCATTATCTACTCTCCTGAAGGACAAAGGTGGAGAGAGGTTATCTGTGTGGATTTCTGTCCTTGGAGGAAGGTCGGAGGGGTCAGAGCTCGCCGGCCGGGGTGGTGGTGGGGGGTGGGGGTGCTCATCTCTGCTTCTCCTGCACGATCATTTGGTTCTGTATATGCGGAAAACCAGGTTGGGGGAAAACCAGGTCCACCCAAAGGGTAGCTCCCAGCTCCGACCCAGGCTTAGCTGGTGGTAGGACCCTGCAGGGGGAGCTGGCCCTGAGCCCTGTGAGGGGCTCTGGGGTAGTGGTTACAGGGGCCTGGGAAGTCCTCTCTCATCTCCAGCTAACACTGACCTGAAATTCTACCTCTGTGAGGACGCTCTTGAAGACAGTCGGTGTTGTATTGACAGAACAGGAAGCCGTCCTTGGAGGGTCTCCCCCTGGCTAAACACAGACAGGCTGAGTATTGAAAAGAATGACTACAGACAATGGAAACATGCATGCGATTTTGTGAGTTCACGACTGTCAAGAAAAAACAAAAAGATAGATGCACCACAGAATGGGAGATTTTTGTAAATCATACACCTGACAAGCGACTTGTATCTAAAATATTTAAAGAACTTTTAGAACTCAATAATACAAAGAACCCCATTAAATAATAAGCAAAGGATCAGAATAGACATTTCTCTGAAGAAGATGGACAAATGCTCAATAAACGCATGAAAAGATACTCAACATCATTAGCAATCACGGAAATGATCATCAAAACCATAATGAGATACCACTTCACACTCTCCAGTATAGCTACAATCAAAAAAATGGAAAATGGTAAGGATGTAGAGAAATAGG